ATACTTGGCTGGATCGGATGGTTCACCAGAGTTCTTAAAAACTGGAACAACAGACAATGACTTCCAGCAAGCAGGAGGCAGCAAGATATTTATTATACAGTTTAGAGAGAACAGGAGCCAGTTCATTAAAATTTATGTCTCCCATGTTTTTCAGTCCTAATTGTATTAACGTATCATACACATGTTATTACTATACTATTTGTTTAGCATGGGTTGAATGACGTGAGTGCTTATTCACAGAAAATCGCGCGTACGTTCCGACTTACACAGAAAACCGCGTTACTTTGCACCGTAAGAACGGAACTCTGTCGTAAGTCGAGGACCCCTATATTTCATAACCTAGAGCTGCATATGGTTCGGTGAAGAAATTCGCTTATATGACGGCATAATTACGCAGAAAACAATAAAACGGTGAAAATATTCAAAAATTGAGAAACGATTAACATTTACAGTCTATCTCTAATCTTCATAATGTCCAAACATATGGGCGAAATTGATGGATCTGGACAATATTTATATTCAATGGATTCTGACCCGCATTCTTTTTACGCAAAACAGATTTTAATAAAAACGTTAAATTTAAACAAAAATATTCTGTTTTATTTATATTGATACAATAATGCTGTCTAAAAACACAACCACAATATCGTTTGTAGATAGTGTGGACATAGAAATCAATACATATATATATATAAATATATATGTGTGTGTGTGTGTGTGTGTGTGTGTGAATGAATATTTAGCGATTTTCAAAACGTACCCTAAGTATAGCACATGACTGCAAATATTGAGCATCGACAGTGAATCGAACTCACTACCCATTTATAACTGAGTAGTACCTACGATCCTCACTGGGTGGTCTATACTTGCAGTCTTGTGCCACATCTAAGCTACACTTGGTAATTCGTTATATATATATATATATATATATATATACATACCTATATATTCACTGAAGATCACTCGAAGCATGAAGCTGATGAAGCTTAGAGTATTGATTTCTATGTACACATTTTATATATCTATAAACGTTCAATCTCCGATATATATATATATATATATATATATATATATATATATATATATATATATATAATGCCCCCTACTTATTAGCTGAATTAATTACAAAATATTTCAGGTTTGTGTCCTGTTAAAAGCCAGGAGTTTCATTGTCAAGCTCAGTAGATTACTTTCATTTCAATGATTGCCGTAACACGAGTTTTTCTATTTCACGTTTTCCTGATTTGTAACAAAGAATTTCCAGAAAATATTATTAACATTAAGATTTTTTCAAGCCATTTATCGTCAAAGCAGATTAGAAAGCTGGAAACATTATCAACAACAATAGAGAGACGTAGAAAGACCTTTTGTATTAAGTAATGTTGTTGTTCTGTTCCTTTCATAAATATTTCTTTGATAATTTTCAGAACGTATTTGTATGAAAACCGATCGTCAATACATTCAGGTTAAGTTTTTTTTAAAGTTTCTTTTTATGTGCAAACAGATGATTTCTTTTTGGGACTTAGCGTATTTAGAAAATGTCCAAATCATTGTTCATTCTGAGAGCATTTGGTTAATCTTTTAGCTATTTTCAGGGAGTTTGTTCTATATCATTCGTCTGTAGGGTGCTGATACATATTTTAAATAGAACCTTATCAGTTAGTTTTAATTAAACATACATTACATAGGGATTGCTGCTCAAATACACAACTATTAAATTTGTTATTACAAAGGCATTTACGAAAATTAGTCAGAACAGGACTTCTGTCTTGGAGAATCTAATTTTCCAAGCCCTCTTTCCTCATTATGTGACCCAGAAATTTCAACTGACTCTTTTTGTTTCCATTTTCCTTAACACTTCCTCGCTGACAGCAGATTTAAGAAACAGCAGATATTTTACATATAGTGCTCAATATTAAAAATATTAAGATAATATTAAAAATAGAGCCTTAATGACATTATATAAAAAACGGATTAAAAAAGCGGATTGAAAGAGACGCGGAACAAAATGAAACAATTGAAAAAAAGTCGAAAACACCGTTAAAACCACAACCCCTGAAGATTGGAAAAGTTTACCAAGAAACATCGATGTCGCGATAAAAAATATATATATATATATATATATATATATATATATATATATATATTTTATCGCGACATCGATATATATATATAGTGTAACCCGGATATAAGAGAAACCCGGATATAAGAGAGATTTTCTCTGGTCCCAAATTAGAGCCTGTGTTAATGTATGTATAATAGACCAAACCCGGATATAAAAGAAACCCGGATATAAGAGACTTCTTCTCCGGTCCCGACAACTCTCTTATATCCGGGTTACACTGTATATATGGTTTTATTTATCTATTAACAGCGCTCAAAAAATAGCCGGCTGTATTTAATTGCGATCCCCAGATCTTTGTTCTTTTTCACATTGTTCAAAAGGAATACGTCATTGTGCCGACACCTCGAAACAATGTGATTCCTTTTATTTATTCACGTCTTAAATTCTTTGATTTCTACTTTCTCTTTTATGCAGTTTCTTCCAGTAGTTTCTCTTTATATTTAAAAAAAATTATATTCCATTCTACTAATAATGTTTTCGATATTAGTTCCTATATATATATATTTAGCCAAAATTATGTTATCTTTGTCTTTCGTACTTGAATGATAGTAAATGGTTGACATAACTTTCCTTAAATTATTTCCTATTTCCTACAATGTAAATCCCTCTTCCTCTGCGTTTTCCTTTAATCTTACTTTCAACTTATATATTCTCATCTTCATCCCATCCTCCTCCTCCTTCTTCTTCTTCTTTTGTCTTTGTTTTTGTTATTATTGTCCTTCTTCATCCCATTCTCCTCTTCCTCCTTATATATTTTCATCTTTGCAATTTCCTTGCAGTGGACGTTTGGTTTTATTTCCACAATACCATTTTTAGTGTTGTTGTATTAATGATATTTAGTCATTTTATTATTCACCATATTCATAAAAAAATGAATTTTGACACATCGATAAGCAGGAGAAACCGCCGTAGAGGCCGGTATGTTTTAAAACCAACTCAGCCACCAAGGAATTCACTGTAAAACAAGTTTAAATTATATTTATGAAGGAAAGTACATCTGTGGAAGCCCATAGCTTTTATTATTGTATCCAAAACTTTAAAAAAAATCAATGTTTTAAAGAAATTAACAGATATTTTTTTTTTCTCAGAATCTGTCATTATTTCTGATTACTATGTCGCATCCACCAATATGACTAATGTACTACTGTGTTAACTTCTCGTAATTTTCGAAACTGCTCCTAAGGGACGCTTTCCGGTATTATAAATACATCGTGATAATTTTTCGCAGCCACTTCTTACTTTAGACGTCAACATGTAAATTTCTTGCGGAAGAACGCGATTATAACGCGTTCACTTTTGGGAAACGTATGAACAATACACACACGCACGCACGCACACACACAGACGCGTGCGTACGTACGCATATTCACTCACTTCACATATTTTGGACTAAAACGTTTCCACATTCATTTGTTACTTGTAACCTTTTTATTGTTAATAGATTATCATTTGTTTGTACACGCACACACACACACACACACACACACACACACACACACACATATATATATATATATATATATATATATATATATATATATATATATATATATATATATATATGTTGGTTCTTGTTGTTCCTTTACATTTTTTCGGTAGACTCGGGTCTACCATGTTTGCTAATGGGTATTTCAGGAGACACACATGTTTATCTGCCAACGCGTACCCCACCGCTTCGCAACAACCAGATATGTTATATTTAGTGAATGCACGTGTTTGAGTAGACGCACCGATTTTGTTTTGAGCTACCGTCTGGATTTCGAAGAATCCCCTACACATAGAAAGTTGCATCTCTCTTTTTCAAAACTAATTTACAAGCTCACTTCGATTAAGAGTTATTTTCTCTTCCTGAATGGTTTTTATCATATAATCAATAAAAATCATAATAACGAACGTAATCCATTACTGCATAAAGTTTTCTTGAAATTATAGCAATTTTGCCTACTCTACCATAATGGCTAATGGTAATTTTAAGGCAGGTTGATTTTAACTTTTATATAACTCCCTGTCTAAAATAATAGACCCTAGGCACTAATAAGTTCTAGCATCTTACTTCAGTAGGAGCTAATTAAACTAAAATATATATGAAACTTATTAATTATATCCAGAAGGTGTCCATCCAACTTTCGACCGGTAGTGTATTATTCAGTATGTGCCATACGTGATACACGCTTAGGCGATCTTTCCATACATGACTGACGAGGCAGATTTTTTCCCGCAGTAGGTTGCCATTTTTTTCGGCGGTAGACCAGTTGCCATCCAAGGCTATAGAACCCGGTCTGTCCTGCTATTTACCCATAGCTAGGACGGAGAATAAGAGGATTTATACCTTTTCCATGGGTATTAGTACGTAAGTGAATGTAATGGATTCAACTGGAATTCGAACTCGGCTCTCCGATTCATTTACCCGAACCGCTATCCATTGCTCCACCATGAAATGATGACATTCCTTAAGTTTAGCTTAATCTGGCAAAAGGCCACGATAATGTGGCGCCAAATGAAGATTAGATTCCTCAGCTTGTCAGCAAGATGAGTTTGCTAACTCCACTTCTACGAAAAGGAGTCTCGTTATTCCTTAAACTGAACTTTGTTTCGAATGAAGCCATAAATGTGGAACATGCAATGGGGATTCAGTTCCTTAGACGTGTGAATGTTCTACGAGACAAACTTGTACTGCATCGCCTTACGTTGAGGCAATGAAATAAAGAAAATAAAATGTCAAGCCTTGACAGTTGCAAAAGAATTCCAAATGATTTTTTTTTCCCATTCTGCATGGGCGTAGCGAAATTAGCGTTTGATAGCCGCAAAGAAGTTATACAGTTGTTTCCTGACAACATCCAATAAATATTTGACATCATTCTAGACAACAACACGAATGAGATGCATTTTTATTCATGTGACATGTCATGGGAGACATGAGGAGAGACGAAGCGAAACGAGAAAAGGCGAGACTTCGTTTGAGAATTCTGTCATGACATATTTTCGATTGTACATCAGTCATTTTGTTCCAAAGTCTGTAGTGTTTCAGCTATCCGATTATGCATCTAAATCTTTATATGTAAGACATAAAAGTTTAAAGGAAAATAACCTTTCCGCTATATGTGCATGTATGTCTATATCTAGAAAAAAGAATATATATATATATATATATATATATATATATATATATATATATATAGTGGTTTTCTAAACCCGGCTTAGATGTGGCACAAGGCCGAAAGTATGGGGCACCCAGTGAGGATATATATATATATATATATATATATATATATATATATAGGGAAAAGTTTATAGCTGTTCGAACAAGAGAATAGTGTATATATTAAGAAGAAGAGGGAAACCGCAAACGTTTTTGATTGCAATGTGGATTTAAAAAAATATATGATGTATATTGTATGATAGTAGCTTTTATGCCGAGCCACGCGAAAAGGAACGTGACTGGAATTCAAGTTGACGTCCTTTTATTTAAAAGAATAAAGTAAGATTAATACTGGCCAGATGTTTTATATAGAGAGCCTCTCTCATAGCGATATGTTTTCGGTTACGGGATTTATGAAGGATGATCGTTTTATATATATATATATATATATATATATATATATATATATATATATATATATATATATATATATATGATAAAAATACAGTTTTGAGTTATGTTATATTAGTATGTAAAAGTGTTCAATATCAGGGATAAAGCGAATGAGTATAAAAGTAACATTGAGATCAACACCCAGCCGTGACAGTCTTTTTTCATACACTGAATATTTATATATATATATATATATATATATATATATATATATATATATATATATATATATATATATATTAAAAGATTACTTAACTTTTAAATATCAATTTTATCCCGACATCGATGTATGTTTTTTGGTAAAATCTCCATTCTTCTGAGGTTGTGGTTTTAAACGCTATTTCAATTTTTTGGCAATTTTGTACCGCGTCATTTTCAATCGGGCTTTTTTTACTCCGTTTTGTACACGGATGTATTAATGAATTTAACACTTATATCTATATAGTCTAACAAATAATATATATATATATATATATATATATATATATATATATATATATATATATATATATATATATGTATGTATGTATATCAGTCTATCCATATCGATTCATATTTATCTCCTATTTTTCCCACAGTCTACTCATTTTGTCTATCTCTCTATATATCTCTCTCTCTGCCTTTCAATTTGTTTATATCGATCTAACATCGACTCACGCTTTCTCTCTCTCTCTCTCTCTCTCTCTTCATTTATTCATATTTGTTGCCTCTCTTTTTTCTCTTCATATTATTGTGATTGTCATTGTTTTAAACTTTCTCTTATTCTATTCATATCTACCTGTCTCTCCATCTCATTCTATCAATATTGATTTGCAGCTCCCTCCCCCTCTCTTTCTCTCTCTGTTCATATCTGCGTTTATCACCCCCTCTTCCCCTTCCTTTCCAAGTTTAAAAGTTATCACTCCCTCTTCCCCTTCCTTTCCACCTTTCTCTCTACATTTTTTTCTCTCACACTTTCTGCCTCACTCTGCTCATTTTACTATTATCTCTGTAGTTTCTGTCTCACCCTATGCACCATTCTCTATCTTACTGTTTTCCTATTCTGTACATATTTCCCAGTGAAAACAGATTGGAGACCATCCCCTGGTGTATCAGTAAAACAGTTTCATCAATCTGAGCCGGAATCATATTGGATATACGTTAGTTTTAACCTTATTTATTGGCAACAGGCAAGGTAAATTTGTATCCAACGCCCACATCTTGTTTTATTCTCAGAAAATACGGGTATGTAAGTGCTGTACGACTGCGAGATTTTGTTAACAGGACCAACCTCTCGCGAGTAGTGGGGAAATTTGAAACTTGACCGTGTGCAATTCACAAATGGATAGAGTGCTCAGTTTTATGGCTTCTGGTTTTGTTGGAATGGGCATCTCTGGAATCAGGTGAAGATGAGAAAAGTAAAAATCAGAACATTATGACAAAGAGATCGATAGCATATCTGGGAAAAATAAGAAGACGAAAAATGTGATGGAGAAGTCCCACAAAGAAAGAAAAATTTCAAAAATTACACGGAGGATAAGAATTAAAGAAAATAAATAATCTATCTATCTATCTATCTATCTATCTATATATTTGTGTATATACACCTAATTTATCTACCGACCATATAAATATACCGGAAGACGGGGAGATAGTATCATACAAGTCAACCCATTATCTATCAGTCTTCCCAAGAATATACAAAATAACTGTAAATATTGTGTACCTATTCTTTGTTTCAATACATTTTGTTAATCATTTATATTATTCTGCTTTTCAGCTTCTTGTTTATACAATCAATCTTGGTAACATCTATTTATTTATATCAATCTAACATCTATCTATCTATCTATCTATCTATCTATCTAAGTCAGTTCTCATCTATCTATCTATCTATCTATCTATCTATCTATCTATCTATCTATCTATCCTTGTCAGTTCCTATCTATCTATCTATCTATCCATCTATCTATCTATCTATCTATCTATCTATCTATCTATCTATCTATCTATTTCAGCTTGTTTATATCAATCTTAACTTGGTAATATCTATCTATCTATTTACTTTGTGTGTATTTTGGCAGCAATGTCTCATTTATGCAGGTTTACCGTTGTGTATTTATTTATTAATTTATATTTTTCATCATCACGCCCTATAAGGTAGTTAGTTTATGATTGATTACTTCCCTTAGTCGTTTTAATATTCTATACAAATAAAATATTTATCTTCATTTAGACCCAATTACTTCCCGAGCAAAACGAACCATTTAATCAATCCGTTTTACTACTCGGTTTCTTAGACTGCAGTTTTATTGTTCAAGCGTTTCTTGCGAGCCACTCATTTAGCTTAGTCTACTAAGTGATCGTTTTGCTTCAACTTGATCTTGAGAGAGGCTTTGCCGTCGCCGTCTTTGTCGCCATCTTGCTAATCTTCTTTTTCTCTCAAGAGGTGTTTTCGAATCACTTATATATTAAACATTTTAAAAATTTTAACATGAAATAATATATTAAACGACAATCGATTTATATACAGCCAATAGTAACCAATGAATTATAACGTAAATATAAAATGAACAGATTATCAAATGGTTCTTTGGCCTCTATTTTAGGATTTCTTGATCTCCGTTTTATTGAATCTTAATACATTGCTTCATCATTTTTGTTTCATTGCCTCTCGAAAGAAATTCTGATATTTTTACTTTTGTAAGCTCACACACGACGTAGTAATGGATAGCGGCTCGGATTGAGGAATCGGAAAGCCGAGTTCGAATTCCAGTCAAATCCATAACATTCACTTATGTGCTAATACCCCTGGGAAAGGTATGAATTCTCTTCTTCTCTCCCTAGCTATGGGTAAATAACAAAACAGACCAGGTTCTATAGCCTTGAACGGCAACTGATCTACCGCAGAAAGAAATGGCAACCTACTGCGGGAAAAAATCTGCCTCGTCAGTCAAGTATCGAAAGATACATGATCGCCTCAGCGTTAATCAAACATGACACATAACTGACTGAAGCACACATATGCACAATTCCGATATATAATTTCAGGGTACATAATTTTTATAAAAAATGAGAAAAAAAATTAATAAAAAAATAACGTAATTATCCATAAATTTTACATCATTTGGTTTTAGTAGCTTTCCTGTGAGTATGTGGCATTTTGAAAAATGTAAGATTTGATGAAGAATGACGTGTTCTTGTGGTGAATGAATAAATTGTAGCAAGTGAATGAGAAACGAAACAGATCACCTAGGTTTAGGATAGTCAATGACGACCCGCCTCACTCCACTTTCCCTTCTGCCATGCGCCAAAATTGTACATAAAAATACAATAAACATACACACACAATTACGAATATACATTATCATCTGATACCCACATAGACAAACTAGAATTTTTATACACTTACATATCTATCTATCTATCTATCTATCTATCTATCTATCACGCCGCAATTATAGTAACGTTGGTTTAAAAGAGTCGAATGCACATGATACATGACTGACTAATGAAAATTAAACAACACGAAAGTAAGAATACCAGAATTTCTTCCTTCTTTTCCTCTATATCTCAATCTCTGAGGAAACTTTAATAAAAGTAAAACATTTTAGATTTATAATCATTCCCTATTTGCTCTCATCATTATCTCATCATTCTGTCGGACTTCACTTCATATTTTGACCCCCAACCTGTGTTATAATTTATCTTCTTTTCTGTACATAAATTATGTACAAATTGTCTGAATGTTCTTGCGGTTAAATAAGGTTCTATTACTTCGAAGCCGTTCATACGACACCGCACATACAACTCCTTCTCAAAATGCCATTCCCAAATTCGCCCACGCATCACGAACGTAAAAATCGCCACGGCTCCAGCCCTTTTTATTATACCAAAACCACGGCCGACAGACTAGTCAGCATTCTTGGCTTCGTCTTTAGTTATACATTAATCCTGCAGTCCGACCAATCAGCATGCTGATTGCTATTGGGTGAATCGTGATAAGCTGTATACGCTTCAGAATAACAAAGGGGTGGTGAAAGATTCACGCCGTTTTCAAAGGGACAAAAATGCTGCTACGTGTCGCGTATTGTGGTAAGGAAGTTATTATTTTCTTTTACACCAAATGCAAGTCACTTTGACTCGTTTACTTCTACGTAAATTTTCCTTTCTGTAAGTCGGATATGTATGTATCTAGAGTTATTTTCGCGAAGGCAACGAACACTCGTTGCCATTTTTGTGATGCCAACAAATACTCGTTGTCACTTTCGTAATGCTCGTTGTAGTAGAGACTTAGTAATCGTAGATACAACTATAATAATATCGTCGAACAATACTGGTGTCAGACGTCTTCGAATAACACTCGCACTAATAGTACTTGCTCGATGATACTCACTCGAAAAGTAACCATCGTATTGATCCGAATAGAGAATAATGTAGAGAAGAGAATAGATAATAGCGGTCCGAATAACATAGAGGATAGACTAGAAATGTAGATTCGAATAGTAATAGAGGATAGACTAGAAATAGCGATCTTTAGTCGTCAGCTACTTCATACATATATGCGTTTCCTCTATGGTCACGTGGTTTAATTAATTCAATAATGGTATCGCTTGTGTTTGCTCACTGGAGATCAAACTCAAGTGTCTGCAACGACATTTTATTCCTATATAACAGTTATAGGAATGTTTTATTTCCAAATACGGTCAGCATATTGTGGCTGTGTTTATAGTTGGTGTTATTGAGCGTTGGCTTTTTCTTTTTTATTAATAATGCTTCCATTATTTTTAGTATTTTTCTTACATGTGACTGCAGCTATTATATTTGTATTGTTAACGAGTGTTACGGATAGAGATTGGTAGGTCTCCATGTGTATTTAAATGAGTCCTAATTGGGCTGTGGCCATTGCGATGTAACGTGAGTCTTCTTGTTAGGCATGTTGTAGTGTATACAATATAATTATTTGTGAATTTAGTTTGATCAGGAATACAGTTCTTTAAGGGACATGAGAATTTATAAACAATATTGGTTCTCTGTCATTTGGATCTTGCACGTGAGTTATTGTTCTTGTCGTTGAGGTCAGCAGGTTTAATCTTTTAAGTAGATGATTTAATTTTCTTGTTTTTATCGACTGGAGTTGTATATTTATTTATTATGATTCTTAGGGAAGATTAATCCTGCTTATAGTTACCATGCATTTGATTTTTTTTTAGAAAATATTATGCTTTTTATCTGTATGTTTAGTGTTGCTATTGGTTATTTTAGAAAGAAAAGTCTAATTTAGTGATCTACATAATCGTACATTTATTGATATGTATTTCCTTGATTTCAGCCATACGAAGATTGCTATGGTTTGTAAGAAAACTTATCTTCAAAAGGGAAACAAATATTGAGAAAATGCAACACAATACTGGAAACTGTGATAATGTTGAAGAGAGATCCTAAAATAGAAACATTATCACAAGGTATGAATAGAAACATTATCACAAGGTATGAATAAGATAAAACTGGCTTTAAGAAAGTTACAAAAAAGATTTGAGAAAAATATAAATTGTAATAAGCAAGAACAAAAGTGGATTGATCAAGGAAAATATTTGAAGAAGCTTGTCTTGCGTGTATAAACAGAGAAAATAAGCGGAATATTAATAATATTGGATAAAAAATACATGAAAGCAACGAAACTACCATTTTTAAACTATAAACCAATAAGTTGTTGGGTGAAAACTGATTCCTCAACAGGAATCTTTAGTAATGAACGTAGAGCAACGTTGGTTGGATCTGACGGCTTGACTTCAGTTTGAGTCGTTCAAGAAAATAGTCATTTTCCAAGCATAGCTTAGATGTGGCACAAGGCCGAAAGTATGGGGCATCTAGTGAGGATCGAACTCACTTTTCAGTTGTAACTGATCTAGCGAGACAAGCTTGCTAACCATTACACCATGCCGAGGTGCCCTAGGTCACCTAGTTCAAGAAAATAGCCAGTCAATATCAGTAAGACGATATTTGGGGAGGTGTTTTTTTGCTAATATTTTACACAGTAAAATAATATATCCCTTCTAAGTTGATGATGTTGTCATCATACATGCAGGGAATTCTTGTATGTGAAAAGATGTGTATTGAGTGGTACATATCAAAATACGTGTATTGAGTCATACAGATCAAAATATGTGTATTGATTGGTACAGGTGAACAGATGTGTACTGCGTTGTATATATAAAAAAAGACTCGTACTAAGTGGTACGGTAAAAAAAACTGTATTGAGTGGTACAGATCAAAAGACGTGGCTTGAACGGTAGGAATGTAAAAAAACGTGTATTGATTGGTACCGATCAAAATCTTGTACTGAGTGGTACAGATGAAAAGATGTAGATTGAGCAGTAGAGTTCAAAAGACGAGTATTGTGTGGTACAGAGCAAAAAAACGTGTATTCAATGTTACAGATCAAAAGACGTATAATGAGTGGTGCCGATCAAAATGCTCGTATTAAATGGTAGAGATCAAAAGTCGTGTATTGAGTGGTACAGATCAAAAGACGTGTATTCAATGGTAGAGATCAAATGTCGTGTATTGTATGGTGCAGATCAAAAGACGTGTATTCAATGGGAGAGATCAAAAGTCGTGTATTGAGTGGTACACATCAAAAGACGTGTATTGAGTGATACAGATCAAAAGACGTGTATTCAGTGGTAGAGATCAAACGTCGTCTATTGAGTGATACAGATGTAAACAATGAAGCATTAAATGAGGTGTATATTGAAATTTTACGCTCAATAGTAAAAAAGGAAACCAATGATGAAATCTCGTGTACATTATAGCATATAAACGATTCCATGAAAAAAATTTATGTTGTAATTCGCACAATAATTCGGATGTACCTTTAGGCTGGGTGAAAGGTTATATCATTCAAGGAAATCGTCAACACGGCTTAGAAGACAATAGTGAGGTTTTTGTGTTGGTATTGTAGGCAATTTAATTTTAGATCCTTTCAAAGTTGATGATGGTGTCAAGATAGATGCAGAGAATTAACGTAAGTTCTAGAAAAGGATAGGTTTTGAGTTAAGGTGAATATTCATACATAACAAAAAGAAGTAAAAGAAGAAAAATAAAATGTTTGAAATACCATTTACTGCAGATGTGAGCGGCCGGTGTTCGAACCTACACAACAGTTAATCTTTTAAAAGCTGTTTATATAGGTAGATTCACCACAGTATTTAAAATTAGCACAACCCCGTTTTTCCATATCTGTTTTTTTAATCATTTCACCCCAATCAAGCAGATAATGCTACTAGGTTGCAAGGAGAATAGCAGAGAGTGAAAGAGAATAAGAAGACGAATAGGAGAAGTTAGGATAAACTCAGTAAAGGAACACGATTCAGGAAGACATAAGATGGCGATTGCAGTCGCATTTCAGTCTTTATAGGTGACGGGGAAGCAACAAATTGGAAAGGAGTTCAACAGGCGAGCAAAGAAACTATTAGAATAGAATTGACGGTAGCATCTATGTAGTTCAACAGTAACATAGTGAGACCTAGTTGCTAATCTAGTAGCGAGCTTAAATTCTTACCGGAATAAGTTTAGAAGAGCGTCTGTGTTCTCTACTGAATCTTTCCAGTTATCTTGAAAAGAAGAAGGTTTATTTGGCGATGCCCATTTCCTCTCTAATTGTAAGTAAATATGTGTGCCGATTAAATGAGCCAACAAAATTTGAATTTTCCTTGCTTAAAATTTTTATTCACTCTAATATTTCGTCATTTACTCTCGGCTAATATGGATGTCAAGCGACCTCTCTTAGTATCGTTAAAATGGACGTCGTCCTTACGTTCCCAACCTTAGGGGTATGAGAGATTGCCGAAAACATTTCTTACGCGATTGTTCATATACCCATCTGTAAAACATTCTCGTTCTTACGCTCGCAGTACCGTTTTGAGGTGCGAAGTCTTGTACTTCCGCATTCGGTGGCCGGGAGTAATCTCAGGTTAAAACAGCACTTTGCTTCCTTTGACAGTCTAGTGTGAAATTTTAGTATAGTGTTTGTTCCAAAATGACACCACACAGGCATATAGTTTATATAACATCTCAAACCTGACAGTATCCTCATGGTTAGTCGTAATAGTAGCTATTTTGTGATGGGACCAATTGCAGAGAGATGGACTCATGGCTTCACAAAAGCGTTAGTATGAAAATAAATTCGGGTTGCCTCAAACGGAAACAGAACTGGGTTCGTTGACGGCAGTTTTTCGCGTCTATAGCCATTACGTCACTTCACATCACCGAGCACTAAATAAAATGAAGAGAATCAGATGGATTGAATTGAACCAGATTAATGTTGAAGTCGGTTCAATCTGTCTCCTTCTCCACTAGGTTAATATTTGCATTGGGCTTATTGCAAAGAACATTAGACTTGATCTTATAAATGCAGTTAAATATTTTCAAAAGAGAAAAAATACAGAGCGTGAGAAACAAGAAGCAGGTCAGCCGAAAGTAGGTTGGTGAGATGGAAGTGAAGAAGAAGAAGAAGAAGAAGAAGAAGAAGAAGAAGAAGAAGAAGAAGAAATGAATAAAGAATAAAGAAATCAAAACGAATGAAAGTTATTTGGAAAAAAAACAGGCAAATGACGGAAAAAAGTTGGCGTTAAAAAAAGTAGTAAAGAAAGGAGAAAAAATATGAGAAAGCGACTAAGAAAATAAAGAAAGGAAAAAGAAGAGGAAAAGAAGAGTATAAGACAGGAAAGTTAAGGAAAAATGAGATAGAGGGTGGAGAGTTAAAGAAAATCTAAAAATTCGGCGAAAAAAGGATATTAAGAAAGAAAAAGATAAAGAAAGAAAAAGATAAAGAAAGAAAGAGATAAAGAAAGAAAATGCAATATAAGAAAGTAAGAAATAAATAAAAAAAGAAAGAAAGATTAAGAAAATAAAGAAAGTAAAAAAGAAGAATTTTCCTCTGAAGAATATGAGAAGGCAAGTTTAGGAAACAAGGAGAGAGAGAAATAAAGAATATCCGAAAATAAATAGTTAAAGACGGTATATAGCTTAGAAAAAAAAGAAATAAACTGAGAAAGGAACTAACAGAATAGAAAGAAAGAAAGAAAGAAAGAAAGAAAGAAAGAAAGAAAGAAAGAAAGAAAAAGAAATCATCAGACTGAGAACCGAACAAACAGAATATAAAAGAGGGGAAACTGCAAACTAAGAAAAGAACACAAAAAAGAATAACGGTAAAAGTAAATCAAAAGCAAAGTATAACGAGTTATAAAAGAAGGCAAACACACACACACACACACACACACACACACACACACACACACACACACACACACACACACACACATACATACATATATACACACACACACATATATATATATATATTATATATATATATGTTTGTCCGTTCAAACGTGTGGGAGGTTGCGAAATTAAATCTGGATAAAAAAAAAAAAAAACTTCTCGAAACAAATCATTACTTCCTGGATTTTGCCTTCTAAAAGCTTTGATTTTTGTATTCCTTTTGCCTTCGATTTCATACGCGCCATCCTTTTCCCGCCTTTACCGCGTTTGAATTTGTATCGAAAATGGAATTTCTCTACAAATGGACTCAAAGATAAGCTCGTTTAATTCAATAAAGAAAAGGAGAGGAAGGAAAAACGGCGCTATTTGTACAAATAATCTCGACTTCAAACAATTGGACACATGCACTTTAAAGTGATTTCATATTTTGTTTATAAATTAGATTTTCATATTTTTCTGCATGAAATCTTTTTTTTACCAACTACAATAAAGACAATTCGGAAAACAAATTCCATGATTAGATTAAGGTCGGGTGTACAGAGGTAATAAGTGTAAAGAACCCTGTAGAGGGAAACAATCTCTTGGTCTCTAATTCGAATAGGGATTATCCCATTGACTCTATTTGTCCATACTGGATAAATCAGTCTGTTTTAATCAGTGCTTTCACGGACCAGTTTAGCGTTGTCAGGAATTCTGGGGTTATTATAGCTTTAAAAAGACAATCCTTTATCAGGCTGATGCTATAATATCAAAACTCAAGAACTTTACCAAATCACCAAAGCCACATGACTTGAGCTTTTTTAGTAGCAACAGCAAGAAAAATGGGTTGCCATGTAACAGGGAGATAAAAAAATTATAATCAAAATACTATCTTTTCACACAAAAGGTTCTTTTTTTAAAAACTAAGCATTTGGAAGGAAATTTTAATCAGTACGAGAAAGAGTAATAGCAATGGTCGTGAGAAATCTATTTTCCTGAAAAAAAAAACTGTTATAAATTTCAACCAATTTATAGCCACATCACGTTGAAACGCCGAAGCTAGAAACTAGATGATAATTCTACAGGCCAGAAAAAAACTGTTAGAAGAAAACTTACGGTTGCATCTAATATACAAACACCGAAGTTAAGAAACAGCGACTTGGTCAGTAAAATAAATGAGTGACCGGTTGGAAATACCAGTAATCTTAGAGGTGCGACTGGTGTAATTGATAATGACACAGAATTGTTAATCGGAGAGTCGAATTTAAATATACGTTGGGTTCATTATATTCATTTACTTGCAAATACCCCTGGGAAGAATATGGATCTACCTCTTCCCCCCAGCTATGGGTTAATTGATTTGTATCACTAAAACATTATTATCTCTAAAAAAATTATTGCAATTAAAAAATATTTTCTGTCTTTAAATAACTTTCAAAGGGTTGATAAGCCGTAGAAAACGAATCAATCAATCAATAAATTTCAACCGACAGTAATTATAACCGTTCGGTTAATTAATGTTAAATGTTTCCTGTATGGAAACGATCAATTTTACCATTGCCATTACGTTAAAAATTATTCAGATTATTTCGCCCAATGCACTCTCTAACCTTCTTAAGTATCCGAAAAGTATTTTTGCGTAAGTGAATGTAGCGAATCTATCTGGAATTCGAACTCAGCTCTCCGATTTCTCTCCGAATCGTTATCCATTATACACCACCCGCACATAATATCCAAGTTTACTGGACTTGGTATTCCCAAGCTATCACACATCTAGTTACTGAACAAACTCGACATTGCTTAACTTCGGTGATCGTACGAGAACCTGTGTTTCAACGTGATATGGTCGTAATTATACCACTCAAGCGGGCCCCCATCTATAGTGATCGGACGAGAACCGCTATTTCTCACGAAATATGGCCTTTAGCCCTGCTAACTTGCTGTTGTCCAAATTTTGAAACGAAGCTTTATTATGACTGCATGATTACTCGCTGTTCTTATTCTTGATCGATCTGCTCGCCGTCCGTTAAAGTAGAGTGCAAATCAGAAGAAAGAAATAACTTTCAGTAAGCCTAACCGAGTGATTAGACTATCTACTTTCCGATCATGAAACCGGCGTACGGATCTCAACCTGGTCGAATTGCCAGGAAGGTAATATTAATGTTATTGGCCTGGGGAGACGATCCCACAGTTCAGTACTTTGGGAAAGTGTCTGAAAGACCATACCCGATAATTTGGGGTAAAGTTGGATAGACCAATTTACCATTGGGTGTGTTAGCACGAAGTTACAATTTATCTTTATCGTAGGCTTATTGGCCTGGTTCAAACTGTAACTAAGCCCCCCCTCCTCAGCATAGTATGAACCTCAAGTGATCTCTGTTGGTATTGAACAAACACAAATCGATCTGACAACAAGTCTTGATGGCTAACCGCTCTATCAGACAGGTATACTCGGAAACGCGCACTCAGCCATTATATATAAACCCGTCTTTGCATCTTTTTTACATTCAGACTAATGTCCTCATCTTTATTTTTATTATCATAATCTTTTGGTCGTTGTGCCACCGGCCTTCGTCTCTTTCATGGAATTTCGAACAGAGCTGTACATTTCAAGATTATATTGTTCTCGATCCGCCGTCAATGTCTAGGGATACCTTGTCTTCTCTTTTTTATTACTGCTCAGATATTGCACTCCTTGCTTTCAGTCAGACTGTACTACCCAGTCTAAGGATTGAACTCACAATGATTATGCCAGTAAATTCACGAATCACCGCTTTAATATTCTAGCCTATTGTTCCGAACTAGATCAAATAATCCTATAGAGCATTAATCAGTTATATGTAGTATTCTATTATTAATACTGAATTTTCCTAAGCCCATAAATCATACAGTTTTTTAGAAACTGATAAGTAATATCGGATTTTGCGTTGGATTATCAGTGCTAAAATAAATTTGATATCACGCAGCGTTGTTTGGAAAACAGTGTTCCTTGTCAAGTAGACAGAGTTAATATTAAAAAAAATTAATATGGACAAAACGTATATCCTGATTTTCTCATTAATTTTTTTTAACCTTCATATTCCATTAGTAAGTATGAAGTTCCAGTAGGACAGCTTCTTACCAAAAACTACTACCTTGCGGAACAAATTCCTTAGAGGATGCTTTCTTGATTACTAAAATCTTGGCATCTTCAGGTTAAGGATTATTCTTTATATAGCCTCACAAACTGCACTTCTTACCCACTATTCTTGTCGATCACGCAACAACCTCATTCAGCACCTCTCTACTTTGACTGGTTCTTACACCCTGTATTGGGTGAAAATTAACACCCACACACCCACATATATAGTCATATATAGACAGACTGTTTCGCTGTTTCACAGCTCATCAGTGTGGCTAGACATCCGATCGCTTCAAACCAGGATCGAAACCCGACCGATTTGGTACTAGTCGGAGATTCGAACCTCTAGGCTATCGAAGCCCAGCAGAAAGGCGAATTTTTTGCGCATTTATTTTATCATAAACACGCCAGTGACCTAGAGAACTTAGTCCAGTTTTGGAGAGTCTTGCATTATCAGCAGTAATAGTGACTGTTTTCAAATTCACGTTTTCTCCCCACAGTGCTCGACCGAATTAATTCATTTTCAGGTACTTTGAGAAAGAGAGAAAGAGTGTGAGAGCGGATTGTATATGTCAGCCATATTCATAGCGAGGAACAATAGATTAATAGGGAACTGACATTTCTCGTATTCGTCTATACGAAATACATGATGTCAGTATGAGTCTACTCGAGCGTGTCCTTCACAAAGTAAATAAATAAAAACTTCAGATCCTTCAGGCCCTTGTCATGAAAATAAAGACATAAAACTGAAAAAGTTCATCTTCGATCAATGCACCTGAATTTTAAATACATTTAACCACTGACATTTTGACATTTTACAGAGAAATGTTCTTAATGCGCGTTAACTCGTGTGGGACATCATCATAGCGCACAGACATGATAATGTTGATATTTAAAATTTGAATTAAAAAAAAATAACATTGATAATCACGATTTGGGACCTTCATAATCGCTAAATGAATATTCGAAAACAGTCAATCAAAACTTTGTTCAGATAATTCCCCGATTCACGTGTAAAGGAAGGTTAACTTTAAAAAATCCTTTGCTTATATCGTTGACACACACACACACACATAGTTTTAAGATATGTTATATTTGTAGGTAAACGTACTCAATATCAGGGATTGTGCGTATGTGAATATAAATATATCAGTGGACACTGAGGTCAACACCAAGTGTTGATGTTTCGTTTCATGATTGGACGCAATCTTCAGACTATGTGTGCTGTGATTTGACTCTACTATTTATATATGCTGGACAATGGTGCATTATGTGTAGCAAGGTCTATTGTATTATCCTAACAGTTATCGGATAAGCGACAACGGTTATAATTCAAAGTATTATAAAGTTCCTATTGTAGTTATCAGGGAAGTAAGAAATCGGAAGGGATTTCCGAAGGTGGGAAGTGCTAGGAAAAAAAACTGTTAGAGTAGAAATGACGGTTGCATCTAGCTAGTTCAACGGTAAAACGGTGAGACCTAGTAACCATTCAGATTTATACTGGCGCAGTTTTCTGTTTCTTATGACAATATTCTCAGAGGAATGACTGCCAACGTCTGTTAATGCTGAAATATTAAATCAGAAAAGACTGATTTTGCGTTTCCTTCTCCCTCCCCTCTCAAGAGAAGATAACCTCCTTTTATACACCACAAATCTCATAAATATACGTAAAAGTGTTAGTATCGATATTGAAAGAATACTCAGAAAATCATTAATTTTTCTTAACAAAAAATGAAAAAAAAGCTTCTCTTCTGCCAATTTCTAAACAGCTGAGAGTGGCATTTTTAACGCAAAGGCTTTGTTTTGTTATCAATTCTAACGAATTTGTAAGTTAATCGGAGTAGTAGTGGATAGCGTCTCAGATTGAGGAATCAGAGAACCGAGTTCGAATTCCAGTCGAATCCATTACAGTTACCTACGTGTTAATACACTTGGGAAAGGTATGAATCCTCCCCCTCCCCCCAGCTATGGGTAAATAGGAGGACAGGCCGGGTTCTATAGCCTTGGATGGCAACTGATCTACCGCAAAAAGAAATGGCAACCTACTACGGGAAAAATCTGCCGCGTCAGTCATGTATCGAAATATACATGATCTCCTAAGCGTATGATGTATGGCACATAATTGAAGTTAATTCATCTTTCACTTTTATTATTGAACTTGTTTTTTTCTTTCCTCTTTTTTTTGCCATGTCTACCGTTAATTCACTATATTTTTAAATTGGTATCTTTGTTTTAATGCTACTATTACTATTACTACTAGTAACAATAAAGTAATACTTGAAACAAAATGGACGATTTTTACGATCTGAATATGACAGCGAGTAATACAAATGTATAAGAGCATATAACTATACCACATAGATTACGCAAAAGCATTTGTATGTTGCGACACAAATATCTATTTGAACATCTAAGAAAACTTGATTTAATTTGGAAAAAATATGAGAAAAATCCAGAAGCCAATCCCCTGAAAAGAAGCGTCTTCTCAACGAAATAATCCGAAGATAACTAACATGATTTATGAATGGTGCGAAAAATTCTAACTGTATAAAATACGTAGATAACGCTGCTATACGTAGATGGCGCTGTGTTGATGGCAGACATAAAATGGAAACAGGATAATGGCTAAACAAAGTAATCGAGGAAAGCTAGGAGAAAGGACGATAAGAAATCATAATGTATGGTCGTTAGCAAAAAGCAAAGATGCGAGCTACAAAATGAAAACGACAAAATAAAACAAGTAGAGAAATTTAAATATCTGGGAGGTTTTATAAAATACGATGTAAAATATGACACAGAAATCCGGGGGAGGATTGGAATAGCGAAAGATGCCTTTAAAAACTCTTAGGATACAATAACATTTCGGTAGAAAAAAAAAGTGCTGAGCTGTGATGTAATATCAATCTTTATTTATATGGTATCGAATTATGGACTCTTTCCTCACAGATGAAGAGGAGAATTGTGGCCGATATGTAGTTCTACAGAAGAATATTGAGAATACCATGGACCGAACATGTAATCAATAAGGAAGACATGACAGCCAAAAGCTATATCGAAGGCGAAAGAGGTGGAGGTAAACATCGGATGACCCACCTAATGAGATTATGTAAATAGATGGCTGAACGTAGACTGGTAAGGACAGAAACGGGACAAACATTTCTCATAGCTAAAAAGGATAGTGATTTTTTTCACCCACGTCCTGAAGGGACACTGCACAAAGAAGAACAAGAAGAATGGCGACAGTGAAAATATAGAAATATCTATTTCAGCGTGCATGCCGACTTTAGGTAAGTAAAATTACCTAAGGTGCATTGTGATGGTGAAAGATGCTAAGCAATGTATGAAGTCATAAGATGTTTCGTTAGAAACAAAGAAAAGAATACTGAACTGCTATGTGATATCAGTCCTTGTCTATCGCACTGAACTATGGACATTCTCCTCACATGTGAGGAAAAGACTTGAAGCAACAGAAATGTGGTTCTACTGGAGGATGCTGAAAATTCCATGGGCTGAACATGTAAACAATGATGAAGTTTTAGACAAATGGGAACAAAAGGGACACTTGTACTTAATATCAGAAAGAGAGAGTTGAAATATGATGACACATAATGAGGAAAGTGGGCTTGGAAAATTTGATACCCGAAGGACTGATTGACGGCAAAAGTAACAGAGAAAAGCAACGCATAACCTACCTAAAAAGTCTGTGTAAATGGTTGTCAGAGCTGTGATT